ACTGCCTCCTGCCTGCACACCTGCCTGCTGGGTGCCACTGCAACAACCAGTAGCCCCAGAGACTGGTCTTCCGAAGATACCCAGGCACAGCAGCTCTGGTCCCTTTGAGGACTGGCTGGATGGAGAGAGAAGACTGGTTCTGGCGCTCCAGCTGAATTTGGGTTGGGTGAAGGCAATTGCTTTTGTCTGATCTGCTTGCTTTGTACTTTGAAAAATACAGATGTCTTAGATTGTTGCTATAATATTTGCATCTTGAGACACTGTGGCTAGGATTCAGAAGCACCTCGAGAATTTTGGGACTTTGATGAAGAGCATAGTGATGATCCAGGAATCAGTGGGGGCCAAGTATAGCCCCTGGCTCACTGGATGACTTCCTACTACATCCCTAGCAGTGAGCACCACCCAAAAGTACACAGAGTATTAATAGCTATTTAGCATTTCCATTGAGGGAGCTCTGGCTATGCACCTATGACCATCTTATTTAATTGTACCAACCTCATAGGACAGGCATTGTTATCCTTGTTTCACAGAGAAGGAAATCGGGGCTCAGGGAGGCAAAGTTGCCTTATCCAAGGCCTCAGGGCCAGTGAGCAGCAGAGTTACAGTCTAATTGCAGGTTTGCCTGGTTCCAAAGCCTCTGCTCTCCTGTCTCTCTCAGCACGTTGAACATGCTGTTAGCATGGGCCATATAGGTAGAAATTGTGTCACACACATATCTTACGGACTGATTGAGAATAGAGACCACGCCTTATACTTATTTTAGGATACAATCTCATTACCTGTGAAACAGGAATGATCTCACCATTTCTTCTCAAATGAGTCAATTCAAATCATGTTCCATGTGAGACTTTGAAATCCGGGGGAGAAGGTGGGACTGAGGCCCCAGGCACAAAGATAAGCTGTGCTTTCCCCGCCAAACATGCCCTCTGTCTTCTGAGTGCCTATTAGACTCAGTCAGTTTTGCAGATTCCTTGCGGAGCTCTGTGCCAGATAAACAGTCTCTCAAATTTCTTATATGTTATGAGGCATTGCAGATGACTCTGTATAATCAAATATGCCATTCCACATCTCATTTGTAATTTCACAATTTAGCTCTCTGCGCCATTTAAGCACATATAGAGCCTCTAGAGAAATCCTTATTTTTTTCCTAAAGCTTTTATATCTGAGCTGAGTGCTGATTTTGGTCTTTGCTGTGTCTAATAAGATTCTCACAAAGTTTTCTCACTACGAAAGGCTTTATAAAGTTTAAGAAACCATGGAAATACATTCTGGCCTAATATAAGTCGTTGTAGGCCAAGAAAGCATCAAGCAGAAGGCCTAGATGAGGAGCTGACTATTCTTTTCCTCTTCTATTTCTTTTGTGTTTGGCTTGACTGGGTCTCTGAAGGATATTATGGCTGTTTTGTAATCCTGCACTGCTTGGCAGTTTACAAAGCACATCTCGTGCATCGTATTGGATATGAGCTTGACAACTACCCAGTACGTGAGGCAGGGCAATTATTATCATCCCCATCTTATAGATGAGGAAACAGAGGCTTGGAGAGGTTAGGCAACTTGCCCAAACCCATGAAGCATCAAATATAGATCTTTTGATTAGAAATCTGGCGTCTTCTTGCTAATCTATTCTGCTCTCCCAGAGGCAGTCCTTTGCAGTTACGGAGCTGAGACTTTGGAGGTGAAATTGTGTCATATTGATTCTGCTGCCATTTTGTTCTTGAATCCATCCACCACTCTCCATCCCCACTGCTACACTTCAAGCCTCAGCCACTGCCATCTCTGGGTCACTGCCACAGAGTTCCAAATTGGTTTCCTTACTTCTAGTTTTGACCAGCTGGGGTCCAGGATCCACACTGCAGCATAAATGACTTTCTTAAATGAAAACTTTATCACGATGTTCCTCTGCTTAAAACACTTTAATGGCTTCCATGGTCTTCAGAAAACACCAGCTTCCCTAATGTGGACCTCTGAGAGCCTGCATGAAGTGATGCTGCTTACACACCTATATCCGCCTTTTGTTACTCCCACTCCCAGAATCTGAGTGCCAGCTGCTTCCTATCACCAAACTCTCTTGTCTTGGAGCCTTTGTCATCTTCATTTTATGACTCATTAACATCTTCTCTCTGTTTCATCTTCTTCTCTTTACAATGTTTAATAATTTTGAAGTGGTTTGTAACCAGCTCCCAAACAAAAACGAAAACAGAAAAAACTTCTTTATAACTAATTACTGTTATCAGTAGTGTTAATCTTTATTTTTGTAACATGATTTAGAGTTTATAAAAATGGCTGACATTACTTCCAATAAGTAGCATAATAACTGAAGTGGGCAGGGATCCATTTTATAAATAAAGACACAGGCTTGGAGATGTTAAGTAACTTGCTCACCTTCATGCCACAGGCAAGTGACAGACCCAGCACTTCGAAATCCAGTCTTGAAATTCTGGTTTATACGAAATTATGCGACCTGTTTATGTCATTTATCAGCTCCTGGCTGCTGTAAATGGAATGTGTGGTATAGACACTGTAGAAAACTGGGTTGCACTTCACAGACTAGAAGGACTCTTGTAGAAGAGGGGTTCCTAGGCAAAAGGAGGAGCAGCCATAGGAGAGAAAAACGATACTGCCAGAACAGCCAGCACATGGACTCATTAACCTCTTCCACACAATCTCTATCTCTCCTACGTCCCTGTTGACCAGAAATAAGTCAGAGGGGAATTTGTGTGGTAAACTTTCACCTGCAGGGACATGATCTCTGGAGAGATAAAACATCACGAGTGGACGGCTTACTGCTCTGTGCTGAGTCATGGTGGTAGTTCTTCTTTCTTGGAATAATTGGGAATTATTTTCCTGGGGGAAAACTATCAGCGTCCCCAACAGTGTTGCCTAAATGACAAATTCCCAGGACAATATAGCTCTGGTTAAAACTCTCAACTTACTAAGAGCCTTTCCTAACTCAATCATTCATACATCACTTTCTCATGCCACTCAGCAACAGAGAGTAACACACTGTCAGAGAGTCGAAGAAGATTGGGACATAGTCCCCGAGGTTGTTAACAATAAGCTATTCAAGAAGAGGAGGAAAAGTACCCAAGGAGAGGGAAAGGTTATGTGAAGATATTGAAATAGTCAAAAACATGGCAGGTTCTATAGCAGTTTGCAGGATGGAAGTTACAGGACTTGAAAATTGATTGAGATAGGAGAGGAGTGTCTGGCTAGAGCAGCTGGATGGACGACTGTGTTATTTCATGAGGCAGGGGTTAAAAAGCAAAGTTTTATTGATTTATTTCCTTTACTCTTTTAGATATAATAATCAGTGCAATTAATAGCACCTTGAATTTGATGTGCCTGTGGATATTTGAGTCTGGAATGCTGAGGACAGCTTTGGACTAGAGATATGGATTTGGGTTCCTCAGTGGACAGGTGACATTTGAAACCATGGGATGGACGACATCACCTGAGAGAGAGAGGCTAGAGTGGAAGAATCCTACTTGATTTGGCCAAAGTCAGAACAGAGACAAGAGAAACTAAAGTCACACGGTTGTAATTAATTTGATAGAATGTGCCATATCCAAAAAGTGCAGCAAGGACAAGATGAACAACTGGAAAAATCTAGGAGAGAAAGAGGGAGCTTTGTGTCTAGGAGAAGAGAAAGAAGACAGGGCAAGGGGAGAAGAACTGGGTGGATTAAGTGGCTCAATTTATTGCTGAGGATTTTCTAGACTCCAGATGTCCTTTCACACGGTGCCTGGTACGTGCTTGGAAAGGGGTCATAGGCACTTTGCAAAGCAGTGCTAGGCTGGATACTATTATTTCTCACTTTGTCAGGTAATCATCGTGAGGCTAGTTTAAAAGAAAAGGGCCTTCAGGTTTGTGCTCTGGTAAACACCCTGTGCCCTGCCTTAGTTTCCCAAGATCATCAGTCTTTGGGATGCTGTTGACAAGTCATTTATTGATATCAAAGAGAGAAGGAAACATACGGTTCTTTGACCCCCCTCTGCTTGGGAGGCCACTTGTGAGCAGAGCTCTCCACTGGTCTACCATACAATGAAGAGTCACCTACGCACAGCCTGTGTGAGGTCAGCAGTGCCTCTTGGAAACAATGAATCTGGCATACGCCTTGGTGTTCCATGAGTAGTTCATTTGTCAGTGTGCTCTGACTTCGAATGTGCCTCTAAATCTTAGACCTGTGACCTTTTGAGGTGCAGGAATCAGCAATTTTAAAAGTCACAGGGCCTTCCATCCAGGTCTTGACTCCACTCCAGAGCATGCACTAACACACACGCCTTCAAATCTCAGTTGCTTAACCCAATCCAAGTGCATTTGCCAATGATGCCAGAGCAAAGGTATGACGCAGGGACCGGCAGCATTGGCACTACCTGGGAGCTCATTAACATTCAGAATCTCAGCCCTACCCTAGACCTACTGAATTGGGGGTCTACATTTTAGCAAGATCCTCAAGTGATGTGTATGTTTATTAACATTTAAGAAGCACTGCCCAAGATTACTGAAGGCCCCTTGATGGGTGAACAAGATATTTTCTGTATAAGAAAGAGGAATCAGACATAATTAAATAGGAAAAGGAAAACAAAAAGAGGCAGTATGACCCGCTGGGAAGTTATTAAATTATATCAAACCCCAGCATGTTGGTGCCCAGCGCGTGGGCTCCAGGAGCCAGCCCCGGTTCATGGCCCTTGCATTGCTGAGTTGGAAGGCCACTCTCCATGCCTGTTCCTAGGGAACAGGTGTCAGGACAGCCTGATTGCCGTTTTGCAGTTGCTGCCTGGGCTTGCAGGTAGGAAGAAGAGGGATTAATCAACTGCAGTAAGTCCTATTAGAAAATTGGAAAAGCCAGCACAGTTTTTTTTTTTCCCCCATGAGGCACCTCAAAGTGCTCATGTTAAAGGGGTGATTACTGGCCTTTTATTATTCTCATTTTGGTAAAGCTGTTTTTTCTCTCCCACACCTGTGTTTAAGGTTAATTCTGTGTTATTTTCTTTCCGCAGGTCTGTGCTGAGTGCCACAGGGAACGGCATTTAGCAATACCAAGCAGGAGAGCCAGAGAGAGCAGTGCTGATTCCACACACGACTTGGAAACTGGCTGAGTCTGATGGCAGGAGAATGTGTGTTTTTGTGGTGTTAACTGGGAGGAGGAAAGCAGCCGGTGCTCGGGAGCGCCAGAGCAGCTACCTCTCTGGATACCTGGCACACCAGGGTGCCACGGGGCGGCTCCTGGCTGTTCCCCGCTGTGGGAGATTTTGCTGCAAGGAGGGCTAAGAAGGAACGGAGAGAGGTTTTGCTTTAGCAAAATGGTCTCTTGAGAAATGAGGTGAGCATGAGTGTGCAGAGGGTTAGGGCTTAGTGCAAGGGATGAGTGAGGAAGACATCGTGCCTCAGAGGTCATCAGGAAAGGGGGTCTCCCAGAGCAGAGCCACTTTAAATACCCATGCCTTGACCTCTTAGGCCACTGAAGCCAGAAGCAGCCTAGCACATAAAGGAGCAGCCAGCAACCACATAACCAGTAACCACATAACCAGTCTGGGCAATATCTTCTGATTTAAAACCACTATTTCCCTCCTTTTTTAAACAAAGACTCCTAGCTTCCCACTCATTATCCACTCTCCTTCCTTCCTTACTAATGAACCCTGATTTTGTCCTGGGTAGCCAGATGCCATGTAAAATGATGAGTCTTTCTGGCCTCTCTTGCAAGGAGCATGGCCCACAGAGGGAACCGAAGTCATTGGGTGGGGCTCTCGGCAAGCCCTTCCATACACTGACTCAGTTCTGGAGAACTTCTACTTTGTGCTTCCGCTTTCTTTCTGCCTGGAATGTGGATGGATGCTTAAATCTGGAGGCAGATTGGATGACAAAATCACATACTAGAGATCGTGAAATAGTGAAACAGACATTTGGGAGGACACTGATTCCTGGATGATGCCTATTTCTGGACTTCTGCCACTTGCTAGAATTTTCTGCATATGTGGGAAACTCAGTTCTAGGTTATTTACCTCTCTTTTATGTTCCCTAGATTAGGTAAGACAAGAAAATCTTGATACAGCAACAAACAAATTTCCAAATCTCAGTAAGGTTAGCCAATAAAAATGTTTCATTTATATTAAGCCTAGTGCAGAAATAACAGATTGGCAGGCAGGCCTCCTGGGGCCAAGGGCCTGTGCTCCTTCCATCTGTGTCTCCACTGACCTAGACACTCCACCTCCTCTTTGTGCAGCAGCTGATGGGAGAAGTGAGTGAGAATAGCATACGGGCCACACCTGGATGAGGTACAGGTCTCTTTCACTGAGATCTCACTGGCTAGAATTCAGTCACATGGTCACAAAGAGAGCTGGAAAATTTCATCTGGTTATGTGCTCAGGAAGAAATGGAAATGAGTTTTGCATATTTTCCAAACACACCCTTTCAAGGGGAAGAAAGAAAAAAAGAAGGAAAGAAGGAAGGAAGAAAGAAAAGAGGGAAGGCAGGCAGGCAGGGAAGCAAGAGAAAAAAAAAATAAAAAGGAAAGATCATCAAATGCTTGTTTTCTAGAGATAATTAAAGCATGTTTCCTGGGACACACAATATGTCAGTGCATAGAAAGAATAGAATCATGCCATCTGATTCCCAAATAAATCTATGTGTGACCTAGTCTTCCCTTCCTTCAGAAGGGTTTCACTCAATACCTGCCGTATTCAAAGCACTGTGGGTACAGCCAGTGGGTGGGAATGACTCTCTGTGGGAGCTGGTGTGGATTCACAGTGGAAAAGGCTGTTTTGCTCAATAACATTCCTGGCTCAGGAGCTGGATAAGTCTCACTTAAATCTGGATGCTTGTTGTCACTATCCCTGTGGCTGACCTTGAGCAAGCACTTCCTGTTTCTGAGTGCTGGTTTCTCTGTTTCGTCATCCGTAAAGTAGAAATAATAGCTGCCTACTGGGTCTCTCTGTCTATCTTTAGAAAATTAGAGGTAATATAGTAAAGACCCAGAGTAGAGGCTCAGCAAATGTCATTTTTATCTGCTTAGCCTTCTCTTTTAATTGCCTCCTGGCTATCTATGAAGCAAAATTTCATAGTTTGGTATACGAGAGAGCTTTATCTCTATGGATCAAACCTACCTTCCCAGCATCCTCTCCTGCATTGCCTTCATTTCCTCTATATTTCTGTTTCACCCTTAAGTTCTACTGTTCTCTAAACTTGCCCAACCCTCATATTCTCGATGTCTTTTTACATGTTGTTCCCTTTGTGGAGTCTTTCAGCCTTGGCACTAATGTGGAGTCTTTCAGCCTTGGCACTATTGACATATTGGGACAGGCAGTTGTTCATGGGGGACTGTTTTGTGCATTATAGAATGTGTAGTAACATCCCTGATCTCTACCCAATAGAGGCCAACCCTGACGCCAAAAACGTTTCTAGATATCACCAGTGAAGATAAAATTGCCCCCCTTCCCCCAGTGGAGAACCCCTGTTCTAATGTCTTTCACTCTCTGCTCTCCCTGGTAAACTCCTACTCATCTCCGATGCCAACTTATAATGTCACTCTCCCACTCCAAAGCCTTCCCTGTCTTCTCCATAGAGAATTAAAAACCAATTGCTTTGTCCTCTGTGCTCTCACGACCCTTTATTCATGTTTTTGTGTTAGTATTTACTTATTTTATTATAACTTATCTGTCTAGTAGATAGGATCGAAGGAACCTGTCTTGATCATCCCTAGCCTCTAGCACAGAGTCTAGCACATAGCTGATTAAAAATATGGCTAACGAATTAAGCAACAACACCTGAGTGAATAAATGCACTTGAAAAAGAAGGATTATTGCTTAACATGAACTTCAGCAGTGGCGCCATTGTCTGATTGAAGTTAAAGCTAAAAACGTAAGAGCTCCTGAGTATGTGCGTGAGTTCACTGGAACATATGAGTGATGGGATGCGGTGCCTTCACAACATTCGGTTTCAAGGGGGAATGGGGAAAACGCTTGGGATGTTAGACAGGAAGGATGTGATAACCATGGGGCTTGGGACAGACAGAAAGAAATCTGGAAGGAAATTTGCTTTACCCATCTGCTCTGGGTAAAGAAAACACAAGTATGTGAAATGGTGAAGCTACAAAATAGTTGTTGGCAAGGTCCAAGTGAGCCACTTCAGGCAGGACCAGCTAGAAGTCAAAGAAGAGTGGTCGGGTGGTGCTGAACCAGCTGGAAAAGGAAGGGCTTCTGATCAGAGGCTGGCTTTCTCTATGACTACAAGTGTTACCATGACAACTAGCCCCTTGCACTGGCTCCAGTCCGACCACACTGTTGTTTGCTGTTTCTTAACTCTCCGTGTCTTCCCACTTCAGGGCCTTTGCACCTGCTGGTTGCTCTGCCTGGGAGGTTTTTTCTAACTTACTCCCTCATTCCATTCAGATTTCTGCTCAGATATCAGGCCTTGGATCACTAGATCTACAATACTATCCTCCCCAAGCACTCTCTATCCCTTACCCAGCATTATTTTTTATTCATAGCACTAAGCATGTACCTGCTTATTGTTTATCTACCTCCTCACTGAAGGTAAGGTACACAAGGATGGGCATTTTGATTTTCTGTTTTATTTCCTGCTGTATCCTCAGTGCCTAAAACAGTGCCTGGCGCCCAGTAGGTACTCAACAAATATTTGAGGAATGAATAAGTAAATGAATGAATGAACGGATTGAATTTGTCTTGAGCTGGCCTTGAAATGCGGACAGAGGAGTGGAAGAAGTGAGTATGGAGCCAGCAATTGAGTGTGGACAGAAGAGGCTGCAAAGTCAGGAATTAACATGCCATACTAATTTTCTCTCAAGATATGTAGGGAACCAGGGTCTCTTCCTCAGAGTCTGGCAGGAACTGAGGAAGGTAGAAAGATTTACATGTGGACTGCTACTTCTGCTAAGGCAGATGTGTTAGAAAAGATAATTGCAAAATATCAAGCGCCATGGAAACACTCATTAATATTGGGGGCTGGTGCTCTCATGGCGCTGGAGGCTTGCTCTGGCTCCGATTAACAGCCAGCAGTTCTGAAGCGCGTCCAAAGCGCTTGGTTTCTTGGACCCTGAATCACAATCTTTAGTACACAATGACTTAGTGCCTTCTGTCAGAGCGTCTCCAAGCATGGCATCAGCAGTCACCCTGCCCACATCCTTGGGAGGAGGTGGCACTGAGCAGCAGGTGCTCGGCCCAGCTTGCCTTTGACTAATATGTTTTTAAAAGCTTGCGCCCCTTTTTTATGCTATCACAGATCCACGTTTCCTTTCATTTCAGCCTGACTCTGGGCTGTCCCTTTGCTCTGCCCCCTGCTCCCAACATTAAAACTTGCTCCCCACCTGGTTCTTCTATAGTTCCCAGCCCCAGTGGGATGAGGAAGATGGCTCTGGAAGTCAGCTGGTCCTGGCATTGGCCTTTGTATTGCCAGCAGGAGAGGTCAGAGCCACATTCCTCCCCAACACGATTCATGTAGGGTGGAGAAAGGAGAAGGGGTCTGGGAGATGCTCCGGGGGTCAGCGCTTTGCAGGATAGACACATACTTAGTCCATTTCCCAGCAGTTGCATTTTCTCATTTTTCTCAGCAGAGTGGTGGGAGAGCTGGTGGGTGGGAGACAGAGGGGTAGGAGATGCCAGAAAGAGGACCCACTTAGTAAAGTGGTGAGTCATACTGGCCTCTCACATTTTTAACTGAGGAAGAATGAAAGGAAGGAGGAAAGACAAATTTGCATAGGTTCTGTACACAGAAGTCAGAAATCTCCAAGTATTTTAGCCTTCCCTGGTAGATGCTGGTTTCTCTTAAGGTAACTTCTGTATTCTCTTGCTTTGATGGTTCAAGAGTGAGCAAATCTGTTGCCTTTCATGAAAATATTTTAGTGTTCCAGAATAGGTAAATCCCTCCTCCCTCATATCCATTCTAAGCATATATGGATCATTTCTCTAATCCTGCTTATTGTTTATCTACCTCCTCACTGAAGGTAAGATACATGAAGACAGGTATTTTCATTTTCTGTTTTATTTACTGCTTTATCCTCAGTGCCTAAAACAGTGCTGTGTGGTCACAGGGATAGGCAGAGGTGTTCTGAAAATACTTTGTGAACTGGTTTGGACCCAGAATAGGCTGCATTATTTGCAAGGCACTAGCCTCAGCCCCTTTGCTTGTCTGTTCCTCACTCAACTCTAGTTAGAGGAGTTGGGAGGTGGGCTCAGCAGGCAGTGGAATCAGGTGCAGGGAACCTAAAGCTCCTGGCTCACCAGACTGACTTAGGTGAGCAGCCGCTCATACAGGGGCCACTGGGCATGCTCACTGCGGGCCAGTGTTCACTCAGAGATTGGCACTGTTGTGATTGCTGTCATCACCTTGAGTTTAGTTTTAGAAGTCAAAAGTGGAAGGTGCAGGAAGGAGAGACTGAGGACTCTAGGATGGCAACGAGAGCATCTTGGTGAACTGTTGAACGCTGCATGAGTGGGTGACTTATCTGACTCGCCCAGTGAAACCTCATTCTGCACCTGCCCTCCATCTCCTTTATCCCCAGGCCAGCCCCTTTCAGCCTGAAAACAGATGCCCTGCCCTGTCGCCCTCTCCCCCTCTACCTGCTGGAACCCATCTCCTGCGATTCTTTTTGATGATATCTCCTTAGCTGCCACGAAGAAGTGCTCATATCAGCAAACAGATGGTGGCTAAGGCATGTAGCATAAAATATATTTATCAAGGCAAACAGCTGTAGCCCATTTCATTCCGCAGATTTCTATTAAAAGTTCTCCAGAGCTACAAGCTACTCTTAGGCACAATCTGAAGGCAGCCCAGGGCCAGCTTTGTGCAGCTCTCCTCCTGGCCTTTCTGTGCGGGGCCTGAGAGAAAGTGCTGGGCTCCAGATTCTTCTTTGAAGGCTTCAATTAAAGTGCCACAATGCAGCCTTACCTCTTCTGCCTCAATGGGCAGGTAGGGGGCCCATCCGAAGTGCTCCCACTTTTCAGGCGAGGTGATAAACAGTGGTGACTTGGCAGCCATGCAGTTACTTCTGCTGTGAGAGCAGAAGTCAAGTTCACCGGGAGGGGACCTTGACATGCTGGGAACCATTAAGCGTTCTTTGTTCCATCTCCAGCCTCCTCACACTCTCTTATGGTGCTTCATGTTTGTTTTCTTTCTTTTTTCTAATGGCCAGGACTCTGCCGTGGTTCTTCTTTTGTTGTGGTTTGGAAGAGCACTGGTCTGGGAGTTGGGAGAGCTGGGATCTATTCCAGACTCTGCCATTAATTTGCTCTGAACTTGGGCAGTCTGTTTTATTTGTCTGGGCTTCCTCTTATAGGAGTAGGGTTAGATCAAGGGAGCAAACTCAAGTGCCTTCAGGGTCTAGGCAGATACTACATATGTGAAATGGCCAGGTGGAGACAAGGCCAAAATGCACAGCGTGTGCCTCTTCTAAAGGCATCCTTAAACACAAGACCACTTCAAGGACGTGGGGGCATATTTAGCACATGGGTATCTAGTTTGAGATCCCCCTAGACTCAAGGTTTGCAACATGTCAAAAGCTAATATTCTGTAATAACTGTTACAGAATATTTAAGATTAGGCTGAACACAGAGGGCAAATGGACATCAGTAGAGTGGTCTACAAGAAAACTACTACTTTTCACATCTTTATTCTAATAGACTCTATTTTTCTAGAGCAATTTTAGGTGTATAGCAAAACTGAGAGGAAAGTACAGTGAGCTTTCATATACATCTACTCCTACCTCTGCACAGCCTCCTCCACTGTCAACAGCCACACCAGAGTAGGACATTTATTACAATCTATAAACTTACATTGACACATCATTATCACCTACAGTTCCTAATTTACCTTAGGGTTCACTCTTGTGTTATGCATTCTATGGATTTGGATAAATGTATAATGATATGTGGCCACCATTATAGTATCATACAGAGTAGTTTCACTGCCCTAAAAATCCTCTGTGTTCTCTCTATTCATCCCTTCTATTCGTCCTGTATGCATTTCTTTTTTTTTTTTAAAGAGGGATAATGGAGTAAATAAATGAAGACTCCAGATGTTCTGCCTCATTGTGGGGACCACCCACTACTTTCAGAAATTCTGCGGTTTAGTGGATCAGAAACAGGGACTATGGGGTCAGACTGCCTGGGTTCGAAGTCTACCTGTGCTCCTTAATAGCTGCGTGACCTCTCACAGGTTATTTAACCATACCTCAGTTTTACCTTGGGTAGATTGTTGAAATATACCTGTGTGATACCTCAGTTCCCCCAACTAAAAAATGGCATAAAAATAGTACCTATTTCATGGAGCTGTTGCAAAGATTAAATTGATTAATCTCAATAAGTCATCTGGGCCTGATGTAGAGTTAAGTGCTCAGTAAATGTTAATTGGACAAGTATACAATGAGTGGTTTTATGGAGCTAATATTTACAAATAACTGGCAACTCTGCAAGGTTTATCTCTTCCATCAAACAGATCATCTTATGGCTTTTGCTTCTAGTCAAGACATCAAACTAAAATTTCTCCCGTGTATCA